TAAAGTAAATTAAAATTTGCACTTAAGTTTTTTCGATTCGGTGATCGACATAACCTTGTACACATTTACGATGTGCACCAAAATAAGCAGTATATTCATAATAAAAGACCTGGAAGTGTTAGAATCGAACAATTATAATACAATCAAGTTATAAAAATAAGTCTCAGAAGAAAGAAGACTTATCTGACGCCTCTCAGCACTATTCACAAGGCCTAAGCTCTGAAAGCCCGGACCAAATCTCACCACGCTTCTATCGAAGCCTACCAATTTTGGAGCTTTCGATCTTGTTTTTCTTTTTATATTAGTGTGTTTTCATTAGTTTAGAGTAGATTAGTTATTATTTCTTTATTAGTTCCACGCTCACAACGTACGTACGTACGTGTATTTAGTGATGTGCCGCGTACAGTACTGTACGCTAAAATTTTTGCCGATCACTTGTTCCAGCCAATCAGATGCCAGAAAAGAACTTACGTACAGTACATACTGCACGCTAAAATTTTTCAGGTATCATATAAATGGCACATCACTAATTGTATTAAGTCGATTATTTTAATGCTGCATACTTTATCATAATTTTGTCATAATTGTGGTTCCTAGATTCTTGCATCGTACGTACGGTGCAGGAAATTTAAAAACTAAATATTTCTATGCAGAGATGATGCATAAACTAGGAAATAAATTTCCTAAATTATCGATCTCAATAAGAAATCTCTTTGCATAAAAACAATAAGCAAAGAACAATATGTACATAAATAGTATGCTGCTGAAAATGACAAATTTAGTTTATCTCCAATGAGCCAACTAACCTTTATTCTATATAAAGTCATTGAAGTTTTTAGATTTCCTGCACCGTACGTACATACTATGATTTTCCTTTTTCTTGGCGGATTTTTATTGGCAGACTAGTTAATGGCATAACGAGTAATAGTGCCCAATTACAAATATTTATATATATTTAAGTTTAATCAAATTTTCAGACTTATTATTTCTACAAAATAAACAGTTCTATTACACAACATATACATGTATTTAATGACATTTATAAAAGATTCGAAAAGAACATAATTTTAATAAGTGGATTCATCTGAATAAAGTTAAGGCTCCTCAAGAAGTTAAATATTTTAACAAGATGGATTCATCTGAACAAAGTGAAGAAGAAAACCTTATACATCAAGTAATTAAATTCTATATTGTGAAATTAAACGAAGAATATAAATCATATCAAAAAAATACGAGATATCGTCAAAATGTATACGTTGCAGAGATTTTTATATCATTAATTTCTATTTTTCTCGGTCAATTATTCGGATTTGCTCAAAATTCCGATATACTGGCGAAAGTTGGAACTCAATTAACTTCATTATTCGGTGGAATTGGGTTACTAGTAACTATTGTTACTGCATATCTTAACAATACTGCACAGAAATATCTTGAATCAAGTAGTTCAACTGAACTCGATGAGAATACGTTCAAACTCATGTATTTACATATTGATGATAAAGTTATTAAGGCGTTTATTGATGATTTGAAAAAATCAAATACTAATGTATCGAATGCTAATGGAACGAATGCTGATGTATCAAATGTTAATGGAACGAATGCTAGTGGGACGAATGCTGATGGAATGAAAGGTGGTGATTTGATAGAAACAATAGATTCAAAGCTTTATACAAAAAGTAAAGATAACGAATTTACTATGTTTACAGCGCTTGATTTTTATATAATTCAATTGAAACGAAGAAACGATATTTTAACTAGAGAAAGAATTTTCGATACGTCAGTTTCTTTTCTGTTCTTTTTTTTCATTCTCGCAATATCAATTTTTTTGTCGTTTGTCTTTCAAGATTCCAGTCAAACCTATCTATCTAAGAATACAGAACAAGCGTTAAGTCTTTCTTTGATGTATTTAGGAGGAATCTGGTGTGGTTTAATTATTCTTTCAAAATCATACGATTTTCTTGAATCTTTGGAAAATAGAATTTATGCTAAAGAGTTTGATAGTTATGATGATGATGATGATGATGATTATGAAAAAATTTCAGAACGTACTGATGAATATTATAAACAAAAAGTCAAAAAACATGAAGACGAAAACGATTGCTTTACCTATTTGTTAAAGAAATTATTTATACTATTTCGATGTTTAGTTAAAATTTTAAATTTAATTTTAATTATTTATTATATGATTATAGGCAGGGTTAAATACGAAAAAAAAAATACTATGACTAATGGAAAAGATACTACAACTAATGGAAAATATCTTAAAAGGAAATTCCATATAGTTCACTTAAAATTATATCCATTTTGGGTCACAAATATTGAATTAATTCTAAACGGAATCAAACCTATGATTTTAACGGATAGAAAAAAATACAAATATCAAATGAAAAAATATGATAACAGAATTTTTTTCAAAGAAATTTATTCTTCGAATAGGAGTCACAAAACTGAATAATCGTGATTGATTTTATTTTTTAATATCGATATATAGTATATAGATGTCCTGCTCTAACTTACTGTAGTTCATGGAATATTTTGTATAAACAAATATTAAGTTTCTATGAGAAAAATTACGAGACTATTTTTCATAATTTAATAAAAAAACTTACAATTTAAATTCTAATATGAAAACTGAAATAACAAATATTTTATCATTTTATATAAAAAAAATTTTTATACATTTGTAATTGTAATCGTAAAAAACGATTAGTTTTTAGAAATTTTAAAGAAAACAAAATTAGATCTCCATTTGAAAAATGAATTTACCAGGAACGTAGTACCTGGTTTGCAAGCCGTGTACAACGTTGCAATACTACCGTTTATGCTTTCCCAGGTAACTTTTTAGTCATTTGGCAGATACGTTGTTGGATTTTGCTCACAAAAATCATCAGCCTGAATTGGAAACTTCCCAATCAGCCTATAATCATTTCACCTACGTGCGTACAGCTGCCTCCAAAATTTAGGACAGTTATACAATAAAATAAAAAAAGCATAATAAAAATAGAAACCAATGCCATTAATGCGTATATTGCACAATATAACTGATAATGTTTATGCATAACGATAATGATTCTACATCGATACCTAGTCATGCTTGCATGTGGAGTGCATAGGAGTGCATGGTTTCCTGCTATCTATGACGAGTTCGCAAAATCCTGTATTTGATTGGGCGTTATAAACCTATGATTTCACATGTTAATGTGCAATGCTAGTGTAACATATTGTTGCTGTGTATTCGTGTTATTCTGAGATTCGTACGTAGATGTAATATCATACGTATTATGGAGAGAAATCAGTTGAGAATACATAAACTATTCTTTATTGCTATGCGATTTATTTAGATACATGAATTCGATTAGTGTTTATTGTCGATTTCGTATTAATCGATTTTATCGACTTAGTCAAGTTGATAAATATGGGTTGACTACAAACGTTAAATTCGATTTTATTTTTAGTTAGTATTAGTTAGTATAAAAAATAAAGAAATTGACATTTTTTACCGGCATAAATAGGCACGTTGGTGACGATTTTTTGACAACCAATTTTCAATATCAATTTAAGTAATTATATATTTACTCCATCCTTAGCCTTTTACATGCACTAAAGATAATAGAGCTATTTTTTTTCGATAGTTTATTAAAATTATTTAATTATTGCATAAATATTAATTATTTAATAAAAAATAGCTCTTCACATTTTGTCGAAAATGTAAAATCTATAAGTTGTGACATGATTATTAAAAAATAATAATAATAATATGATTGACTAAAATAAAATTTTTAAAATTAAAGAAGGTTTTATTAAGTAATCAAAATTGGCTTGGTGAATCTCAAGATATTTGGGGTCAAAGAAGAGAACATAAGGATCTACAAATTCACTGTTATACAAAGTATAATACTTTGTGTAACAGTGAATTTGTAGATCCTTATGTTTTCTTCTTTGACCCCAAGTATCTTGGGATCCACCAAGCCAATTTTGATGATTCAACTACTATAATGCTGGAAGAAACATTTACTTAATAAAACTTTCTTTAATTTTAAAAGATTATTTTAGTCAATCATATTATTGCTTGGGTGAGTCAGTTATTTGACTTAAAGAACATAGTAAAGAATTGATCAACTTTAGTGGAAGATTTTCTTTCAACTACTTGAAATCAAAAGCTAAATATAACTTTAGACTTTAAAGAAAGGTTTATATATATGTTTTAAAATAAATTCAATTTAAATAATTTTTTTACATAAATTTATATATAAAATTTGGTGAGTCAACTCATTTGATTTACAAGTAAAAGCACTTATTAGGGACATGTCTTATGACTACTAAATATGTATAAATCATCGTGATCTAATCATGCATTATAAACATCAATAAAATCTAGTTGTCAAAAAAGATCTTAAAATAAAAGAAATAAATACATCACTAATTTAATTCGAAATCAGAAACCTGATCCTTAAATCTGAATCTCCCTAATATTTGGATATTTTGCTAACTGCTATTACATCATTTTTGTGTATTTTTTTTTTAGGTTGGAAATATATTATATAAACATGAACAAAGGGAGTATGTAACCTGTGGGTATTAGACTCGATTAAATAAGTTTCAAGAGATCCGACTAATTCACCAAGAAACTTATCAACGATTAAAATAAAATCAAAAGTAAATTGAGAATTAAGGTCTTCTATAGAAACAAAATCTCCATAGATATATATTAATATTAATATTAAGTGAAAATTTATGTACATGTTGTAGATAGATAAGAAACATGGTAGCAGATTTAAAATCAATTTAAAATTTGATTTTACACATAAATATATAAATGGATAAACTGACTTAAGTAAGAGAAGAATGCTTAAGATACTTATACAATAAGAGGTTTCAAAGTTAAAACGCGATAATCTAATTTTAATTGAAATTGATGACGTTTTATTTTGAACTAAGCGATCCGACAATCTGATCTTATCTTCAGTTTGACGAAAGTTTTACTTCTTATTTATTTTTTATTTTTTTGCGAAGTATTATAAAAATTTTCAGATCATGAAATGGGGATCTCCAAACACTCTCATTTCATTTTCCGATTTTAAAATCTTGAAAAACAACTAAGATTTTTCAAACTCTCATTTAATTTCAAAATGCACCACTTATTTGTTAACTTTAAAACCTCCTAATGTTACCATACCGCACTGCCTTTAGTACCCAGGTCTTATCAAAAAAAAAGGGTATTATGCATGGCAATATATCCATGGGTACTTAACCAAGAGTGGGTACTATACTTGGAGGGTATTGTGACTTGGGGTAGGCTTTGTTATAGAAACAATTTTTAATTAATCTATCAAATCTTAATATCTTGGATTTTTAATACCCGGGTCTTATACAATTTTTTCGAGAGTTTTTTTGTAATGTACCCGGGTATTATTTGAAGGAGGATAATAAATAAGGGTGTACTAAAGGCAGTGCGGTACTGTAAATCGTTTAAATATATTCGATGACTCCATTCATATAATGAATTATAATGCTTACATTTATTATAACTTCAATTGAATTCTATGCTAGTTAACGGCAAATGTAGATTGCATTCGTTCGGTATTTTCATAAATACGTTAAAGTCATCCTTTTCCGAAATGCTCAAAAAATTATATGAAAGTTTTCAAAACACTCAATTGCCATTTTTCCACATAAATTCTTATCATAAATTTTATAAGCTTATCAATACTCTGCACTAGAAGATAAATAAAGCATTGTAAGTGATTCAAAAAGATCGCATTAAAAACAATCCAATTATCGAGTTTCAAGATAGAGGCAATTTTCTTATGTACATTAAAGAATAATATTTTGTAATATTAATAATATCATGCTGTTTATTTAACGTTAATAGACTAAACCTAAAACACAAAAAATTGTATAAAATATTAATATGTTCTTATGTAAATATAAATCTATTGAATATCGAAGTTAAACCCATAGCAATACAACAGTTATCTAATTTTATTTAGACTTATGAATTTGAAATACTTCATATTCGTTTACAAAGTAATATTGTGGGTAACTAATATTAACGATTGGTTCTTTATAATATTCATTACAATTAGCATAGCATCCATTATTTTGTCCATTATAGTAAAACATAGCAAGTTCTGAATTACCAAAAACTACACCGCAAGTAGTATCATTAAAAATGGCTTTCTCTGGACATTTGACACGACTTAAAATAGAATTTTGGACTGCATCATTTTTTAGTGAAAAAATAAAGCTATCCTGACAACTAACATAA